CTCTTAACATGTGCCATAATAATAATAAATTATATAGCAACAAGGGTTAGTGAAGCTGACCTTGAAAGGACCAAATTATTGGCAAGCAGCATATGGTACCACGGAAATTTGGATCAGATCTGATATTTATGATTCAATAATCTCCAGTGGGGTGTGGAGCACATGGGAAATTATTAACAATGTTCATTTTTCAAGACAAATTCCCAGATTTTTCCAGCGTTTTGGCTTAGACTATTAGCTGGATTTGTTTCTGCATCAACTCCGAGAACACTTCATGATCTGGAAGCCTAGAACACAGCAATGCTGGAATGAAACAGAATACTAAATCCAGCCTCAAATGGATGGGTTTATGATAGTTCTCTGAGGGCCCAAATGAGAAATAATTGAACTTAAAGCCCAATTTCTTAAACCTGATATGTAGGCACCTTGTCTTGTCTTTAGTGTATACTGAAAGGTTCAATTATTTGCCTCAATCTGCCATAAAAGAAAAAAGAAAAAAAAAAAAAACAGTTTTTTTTTTATGTAGTTGCAAAGAAGATGAATACAGGAGTTAGTCCATGTACATAACACTGTATTGTATGTTACAATAAGAAGAAATTTTAGAGGTACAGCTAAATGAGTGATGTTGTGGGAACTGTCTTGTTCCTCATCGGGTATGTCATCGAGCAAGCTGTTAATTGCAAAGCATCATATTGAATCATCGGACACGTCAGATTCACTTCTCTCAGACTCCATAGGATTGGCTCTGGTATATATATGGAACATCAGGCTTTGATTCAGATACAGGTGGAGCTTTCTTGTTTGCATTGCGAGCATTCTCCTCGACATCTTCCACTTGCTCATTGACTTTATCATGCAATCCATGAATCAAGGAATAAACAAAAGGCATAATGAAGATACAGAGCATTCAACCAAGAAGTACTGAAATTAGGAAGAGTTTACTTCAATGCACCCTCCCTAGCCTGTCATATCAATACAATATGCATGGTTTCTAGAGGGGGTAATTTTAATAGTAAGATTTTACATGACTGCACCAATGGCGTGGTGTAATTTGTTTCAAGCTAATTAACAGGTTATCATGGTCAAGAACAGTGTAACTAGTGCATCCAATAAAATGGAATATATGGGGTGCACAATGGAAAAACAATAAAATGCAAAATACATTTAATATCCTCCTCTTTTCTTTTTTTTTAATTGTTTAGTAGATTTAAGGCAGATTATCTATACAAAAGAAAACATAATTTAGTAACAATAAACAAATCATATATTAAGCATTAAAAATGGTTCCCAAATCAAGCACAGGAATCTTATTCCATCCATGTCACCTCCAGAGTGGTGCAGACATTTAATTGTTAAAAATTTTACACAAAAAGAAGAAACACAGAAATTGTATGAATATTAAGGATATCAACATATTTACCTCTCCTGCCGTACATGATATTAACCAGATCTTTTTCAATGCGTTGTACAAGCTCAGGCTGCAAATTTTATCAAAATAGGCATAAGTAGATAAAAAGAAAAAAAGAAGTGCATGTTTTGTTAATTACTGAAAGGTAACAGTTATAGATACATTTAGATCTGGTTCTCTCTGAAATCTTCTCTTTCGTGCATCCTGATGAGCTGAATTTATATACATATTAATGTTGAATTTTTGCTTTGACATTATTAATATTTGGAAGAATTTTATGAGATTTTACATGGGTTTCATTCTTTGTGCAAAAAAGAATTTAGATGCATAATAATAGGAGTTTTTGGAATTAATTGAACATCTTTTGGAAGTTGAAGGACTGAACTGCAAGAAGAAAGAGACTTTTTTGGGACCTAAATGAATGAATCTTAAGTTTCAAGATCTCAGTGCTCATCGTACAAAACCTAGAGGATCAGATCTGAAATTTTACCATTAAAAAAATTGCAAAAGGGGCCAAAAACCCGACACGGGTGTGGTGTCGACACATAATTTGGGTGCCGACACTATGCGTTACGCGTCCGGAATTATAGATTTTGTTTCCTGTTCTGTGTCGACACGTAATTAAGGGTGTTGGCACTATGCATTCAACGTCAAAAAAATCCTAATTTCCTATTTTTTCTCCTACTTCTCTTTTAAGTTCTAACAGGTTTCTTAAACTCTATAAATACTAATTTAAAAATCAGTTTTGGAGGCTTTTGAGAGGAGACCAAGAGAGATAGCTACAAGGAATTCAACAACAAAAGAAGATCAAGACTTGAGATTTTATATCGTCAAATTTTATTTTATGATGTTGAATATTCATATATTCATCATGAAATTGTTGATTCTTTTTTCTTTAATCATAAACTGATTTGCCATCTCATACTAAGATGTAACCTGATCAATTTAATGTAGAGTTTTATGATTTTTATATTTTCAAGGTTTATTATTTTATGTAGAGTATATATTATTGTTCTTAATGCTTTTTAATGATTGGCTACCATTTGGAGAGCATAATTGAGACCAAGAGGAGATTTTATGCAATAGTTTCTAGTAATATATACCATGAATTGAACGAAAACCAGTGAATTTAATTTTCCATGTAAACTAGGGAATGTCACAGAATATAATGCATTTTTATCTATTTAAATTCACATAGAGATATAGTGGATTGGGTTAATAGGTAAATATGTTTGGTATAACTTAAGAAAGTATATCAAATAGGGTGGGAAATCCCGCTGTCACATAAATAATAAATACTTGGAAGTATATTACTTTAAATTCTATATTAGTTAATTATGGTGAAATCGGATACTTTAAAATTTTAACTCTTGGTATTACTTATAGTCAATTTAGTTTTTCTTTAATTAATTTAGTTATTTAGTTTATTCAAATCATTAAATTTCAATTATTCAAATAAAATTAGAATTGGTTAATTTTGGTACTTAATTAATCTACAGTCTCTATAAGACGATACTTTATTTTCATCATTATATTACTTGAACTGCCTAATACACTTGCTAGAGTGAAATTAGCTCATCAAATTACATTTAATTCATGTTTGCTAGAGAGTTGACATATCTGGACCATTTTCTTCAAATTGCAGTTTGTAATCTAAGCATCAAATCTCAACCCCAACTAACTATTAAAGACACAAGCACACCTACCACATTAATTGAGCAGAGTTACAATGCAAAACAGCACTTCTAACAATTGGTGTGGTCATTTGGAAACGCGGTTTACACGAGGACATGAATGGTTCATGAAGACTTTTCAAATCAGGCAGCCGAGGAGGCAAATAAGGGGTGGTGAAAGATTGAATATAGGAGAATGTAGTGAATATGATATTTTTCTGCCCGTGCTAATATTTCATTTGTATGTTTCTTTTTTCTTCTTGTCTCTGTTGTGTGGATTAGAAGTCAAGTTTAAGACCAATGTATAGTATCAAGTTCAGTGCATGCCCAATATGATATAGAATGTAAATTAAATCTGCTTGAATTGATCCAGGCAAGATCCTCTCGTTGGATAGAGGAAAATACCAGAGTTTAGGCTATGATTTTCCTAATTGGTGTCCATTCCCATCTTATTGCCCAGAGGAAATACCGCGGGCGTGTTAGATGTCGGTGGAAGTGCATTAGTATGAAGTGTTTTGTAAGTGTCTTTGTCTGCTAGGAATCTCTTGTGGACTCAGACGTCTTTTGAGATTGATTTAAATGTATGCGCGTTGGGGTACTGCTTGTACCCCGTTTAATAAAATTCATCTGTTTGTAAATTAAAAAAGAAAATCTGCTTGAATATATTCATTAATGTGAAAATGCAATTTGAGAGCGATGTGAAATTTTGGTAGAGGCATGTGAATCTTTGGTTGTACAGGCATGATTTTTTTTTTTTTAAAAAAAATAATAAATAAATGTACAGTAGACCATGCAAGACAGGGAGAGACATACTTCATTGCAGGTCTCCCACACGGTACCACCACCGTCAGGTTTGTCAATGTTTTGTTTTATTATTTGATCAACTTGCTTGACTTTTGGTTCCTTGCTGTTATGATCGTATCTAACATTTAGAAGCGTTCAAGTCAAGTTGCTTTCGTGGGTTATGGGGTGGTTGGATTCTGATAGCTATTTTTTGTCGTGATATTGTTGATATATTCGTCAACTTGCCTAATCAATTTTCCTACTCACATTGATGACAATAACACAAATGTAAATCTCTGATTGCATATCATTGATTTTTTTTTTAAAGGCAAAACAAATTATAATTATTATTAAAGGAGTACAAAGGTACTGCTATCATTACATAAAAAATACAAATATGCTTCCTTAATCTCGAAATACTCACATCAACAGACAAGTCTTCCCCTTCTCGTCCTACACATCCTTTTGTCCAATGAAAAATTTGTTGTTCTTGTTTTAACTTAAGGTAACTACTGTGGCTTGCATTTTGCATTGCATACCTGCCAAAGTTATGGTCTTAGCTAGAGAAATATTAGTAACAACGGTTAATTTGTTGCATTGAAGAATTCCAAGTCACAGTGGGGTGGAGCTATAAACAACTATTAAGGAAAGAGTACCTTCATGATGATTTGGTGTATTGAAGATTGTACCAGTCCGCCTTTACTCTAGATTTGGTATTGTCTGTATCTTATGCTTGTACATCAGTATCAAAGTCTCTGACAGTTTCAACAAAAAACCATCCCTGTATATATGTATGTATGTGTGTGTTTGTGTCTTGAATTTGTGCCTAGTAATAAAGAGACACTTGTATTTTTTACTAATGTATACAGGCCTGTTTGTATCTTATGTATGCTTGTAAATATGTATTCAGGTATGTTGATATTTTCAAGGCATCTGGGTTGAATTGGTATGAGCAGTCATGATCATCTTTAACATTTAATAGTCAAGTTATTATAGGATTTATTGTGAATAGTGATGGTTAACACTTCAAAAACCTATGGGATATGCGGGTTGAAAAGGTCAAAGCTTTTGCACTCTTCCTTAGCAGATAAACTAGATATAATTGTCTATAAAAGCTCTTCATTTTCATGAATTTCTACTAGTTTAAAACCAACATATCCAAACAAACGATGGCTTCTTCCTCCACCCATGTCTATCTTTTAAGCTCGGTTTTCTTGATGATCTTCTTTCAACTATCCTCACACCAGCAACTATGTCGTAAGGACGAGTATCTTGCTCTAATGCAATTCAAAGACAGCTTTGTCATTGAAAGGCAAGCATCTACTTGTCCTAAAGTGGATCTCTGGAAATCTCAAGGGGTTGATTGTTGCTCATGGGAGGGCATATGGTGTGACCAGAACACTTCTCATGTCATAGGCCTTGATCTCAGTAGTTCTTGTCTTTTTGGTTCTATCAATTCCAGCAGTAGCCTCTTTCGCCTTGGACACCTTCAATACCTCAACCTTGCACTCAACAACTTCAATTTCTCAAAGATACCATCTGCAATGGGCAATCTTTCCAGGTTAACTTATCTCAACCTCTCTGGTTCTTTCTTTTCTAGTCAAATTCCACTTGAAATTTCAAAACTCTCCAATTTAGCTAAGCTTGACCTTTCTTTCAATCTTGATTATTCACATCAAGGATTGTTGGAACTCAAAAGGCCTGATTTGAACAACCTAGCTCAAAACTTAACCAAGCTAGAATGGCTTGACCTCTCTTTTGTTGGTATAAATTCTCCAATACCTAAGGCCCTGGCTAATATGTCATCATTGACATATCTCCATTTTGGTCAATGTGGACTATTTGGAAAGTTTCCCACAAACATTTTTCAACTACCTAAACTTCGAGTCCTTGATTTGGATAACAATTGGCAACTTAGTGGTAGTTTTCCTGAATTTCACTCTCACAATCAACTTAGGGTACTTGATGTTAGAAACACAACCTTTTTTGGTGAGTTACCTGTCTCAATAGGAATGCTTAGCTCTTTGGAATATTTAGATGTTAGTAGTTGTAACTTCTCAGGTTTGGTACCACCTTCAATTGGTAATCTCACCAAACTCCATGTATTGAACCTCCCAAATAATTCTTTTAGGGGAGAAAATGCTCCTTTCTTCTCAAACCTCACTCAACTAATTCAAATAAATCTTAAATTAAATCAATTCACTTTTAGTGAGGTCCCTTTTTCTTTGGCTAGCTTGACCCATCTCATCAAGATAGACCTTTCTTTTAATCATATTACTGGCCATTTTCCATCTTGGATTACAAACCTAACAGATTTAAGACAATTGGGTCTCGGGTCTAATAAGTTACAGGGATCTCTTCCAAGCTCAATTTCCAGACTTAAGAACCTTGAAACACTCTTTGTTTACTTCAATAACTTAAGTGGTATTGTTGAGTTTGACACATTTCTTGAACTCAAATCCCTTAAATCATTGGAATTAGGCTTTAATAATTTCTCATTAGTAATCAAAACTCCCACCAATAGAACAATTCCAAAGTTTAAATTACTTGGTCTTGCCTCTTGTAATCTAAGAGAGTTTCCAGACTTTTTGCGTAACCAAAGTGAATTGAATATCCTCAGCCTCGGCTCCAACAACATCCATGGCCAGATACCTAGTTGGATATTGAATATGAGTGCAAATTTGTGGGCTTTAGAGCTTTCTCACAACAATTTCACAAGTTTTGAAGAATCCTTTCTTGTTTTTCCTTGTCCTAGTCTTTTATATCTAGACCTTAGTTTTAACTTTCTCAAAGGTTCTCTACCAATCCCACCGCTCTCCATCCTTTTCTACTTAGTTTCTGGGAATATGTTCACTGGAGAAATTCCACATCAATTCTGCAACATGACTTCTCTTCAAGTGCTGGATTTGTCTCACAATAATTTGAGCGGAATGATGCTGCAATGTTTTGGCAACCTCAGCTCCATGTTGGTTTTAAACTTGGAAGGAAACAACCTCCATGGTCTTATTCCTGAAACATGGGAAACTGGAAACAAACTCGAAGCAATTAAAATGGGACAAAATAATTTGCATGGGAGGTTACCAAGATCACTAGGCAACTGCAAAATGTTGGAGTTTCTTGATTTTGGAAAAAACAAGATCAAGATACTTTCCCTTCTTGGTTGGGAGCTCTTCCTAAATTAAGGATTCTCATTTTGCGTTCAAATAGGTTCTATGGCACAATTTCAATCGAAGTACCAGAGACAAATTTCTTGTTTCCTAAGCTCCGCATCATTGACCTCTCAAACAACAGATTTGTTGGCACTTTGCCAATAGACTTCTTTGCAAGATGGAATGCCATGGCTAATCTTGATGGGGAGAATGCAATATATTTGCAAGCATATAAGCGCTATTTAATGGTGAACCTTCTCGTCGTTCCTTTTCAATTTCCTTACTCAATGACAATAACAAACAAAGGAGAGAAAATGGAATATGCAAAGATCTTGGAGGTTTTTAGTGCCGTGGATCTTTCTTGCAACAAATTTGATGGAGAGATTCTAGAAGTAGTTGGGAACTTAAAGGGACTTCAATTGCTCAATCTTTCCAACAACATCCTTGTTGGTCCAATCCCAACAGCCTTGGGATATCTCACAAATCTTGAAGCACTTGACCTTTCTCAAAACAAACTTACTGGAAGAATTCCTACACAACTAACACGGCTCAATTTTCTTGCAGTCTTCAATGTGTCTCACAACCATTTGACAGGTTCTATCCCAAAAGGCAAACAGTTTGATACATTTGAAAATAGCTCTTTTGGTGGAAATTTAGGATTGTGTGGAATGCCACTGTCAAGGCAATGTAACTACTATAACTCTGAGGATTTGCCTCCACCGTCTCCAACCTCCAAAGGAAATGAAGTCTCTGGATTGTTAGCTGAATTTAGTTGGAAATTGGTGTTGCTGGGTTATGGATGTGGATTCCTCATTGGTGTGGTTATTGGAAACATTGTTTTTACAAGAAAACGTGAATGGTTTTTGAAGACATTCCGAAACAGGCATCCATGAAGGCAAAGGAAGGGGGGGTAAAAGATTGAATAGGAGCAAGGAGTGAAGATGATATCACTTCATTGTTTATGCTTTTTTCCCTTCTTTTATTTGTTTTGTGATTACAAGTCAAGTTCAGTGCAAGTCTAATGTATGGTATGGAGTGGAATTTCAATCTTCATGAATAAGTACTTACTGCTACTTTAGCAGCTGATAGTGAATATTAATAATTTTCTTTTAGTAAATTCTTTGCTTTCCATAAAGAGAGAAACAGAGAAGAAAATTATATTCATTAATGTGAAAATGCAATTTATCATAAAAAAAGAAATGCAATTTGAGACACATACGATATTTTGGTTGTATACGATTTGTTGTAATTTTTTTTTTAATTTTACAATTCTTCACCTCCTCATCCTACACGTCCCAGCTCTTCACTCCTCCTTTAAAAACTACATGCATCCTTTAAATCCATTGACTAGATTTGAACACCATTCTACCAAAAGATGAACTCCTGCAGCTAATAAAGACAAAAATTGCAGTTCTCTTGTTTTAAACTTAAGATAACCATACTGTGATTTGCATTTTGTGTATACTTGTGAAAGTTATGGTCTTAGATATATTTGCAAGAGAAATATCAGTAACAATTGTTAATTTGTTGCATGGAAGAATAACGGATCAGAGTGGGATGGAACCTGTTAGAAACTGAAAAGAAAGAGAAATATCTGAAGAAAGGTTTATTGCTTTCTTGAATTATACTGTATGTACAATGACCTATATATAGGTGTTTACAAAAAGAATATTCTAAGGTATAAAGTATACAAAGAGAATATTCTAAAGTATAAAATATTTACAATAATTCTAAATATAATTATGTTCACATTTTAACATCCCCCCTCAAACTCAAGGTAGTTGTGATGAAACCAACTTGAGTTTGGAAAGAAGAGTACGAAAGCGTCCAGGAAAATGAGCCTTGGTAAAGAGATCTGCTGGTTGATCAGCGGAGTCAATGAAAACCAAATGAACAGTTCCTTGTGCAACATGATGGTGAATAAAGCGACAATCAACCTCAATGTGTTTAGTGCGTTCATGAAAGACATCATTATGAGCAATCTGCATAGCACTTTGATTATCACAATATAAATCAGTAGAA